ATTTTAACAGGCCTGGAAAAAATGGATTTTGCAGGTGTCAGTTGAGTCTGAAGTCTGAACATTTTTAATATAGGAACAATGGTGTGATTTTTTCATGAATTTATCAATCTCCAAACTAATTTTTATGACTTTAAGATAATAAGATTTCTTTTAGCAAATGTAGTTTCTATATTTTGTCTAGAGTCGATTTTTAACTTTGATTTTTTATATATAAACTCTATATTTTCGATTAGTTTTTTAAATCGTTTTAATGAATTTGTTGTTGATAAAATTTCAGGTTTCTTTTTTTTTAAAGAAAAGCACACACGCACTACAGTTGATTGTGAGTAGTTTAAGTATTTTAAATATCATATTCATACTAAAAAATAAGAAAAAGATATGCATTGGATTTTCAAAGATGCCAACCTAAAAAGAGCCAAGAAAAAGTGGAAAAGGTAACTCACGCCATCAAATCTAATTTGTTGTTTCGTCTCTCTAATTATTATTTTGCTCGTCTTCCTAATCTTCTTTATAAGAGGACAATATGATAAAAAGTAATTTACAGTTAACTATATCTGTTTATTTTACATACATACATAATAATTAGATTAACGTTATATAATGTATCATCTTTGGCCGGTCATTAGTGATTGGTGATTAATCATGACAAATTACGACAATGAGTATGGTTTTACATTGTTTTTGAAATTTATATGGGGATCGCAATAATTGATAAATACATGGGAAAAAGTTTCTTTCGATCTCAATTTTCTTCTAAACTCATAATGTGAAATAATGGTGTCTTGCAAATATTGCTATGTATCATTATGGTTCATAATTGGAGAATCCATTTGAAACAAAAAAATTTCTCATAGCCATACACGCCAGTCTCCATGTTACCCATTATGTAATATTTTTATTTATCAAAGTTTATAAATTTGTAATAAATGGTTGATGAAATGTAAAGTGTTTTCTGAATAGTGAATACACATGTAGAGTGAAAGAATCCCAAGAAAAGAGTCTGTGAATTGTTGTTCTCTGAGCATTTCATTTACTTAAAGCC